ATTCATCTTCGTGACTCAAATTTTCATGCGCATTATACCTAATATACGGATTAAGGGGTTGGGTAAATAGCTGTTAGCTAATTGGGTTAGTGAATTTGACTAGTTGATAACATTAGCTGATTGTAAAAAAAAAAGTTTTTGGTAAACTAGTTGTTAATTAGTTGATAGCGGATTACATGCATGCGGAATGACTTTTTCAAAAATCTGATCGAAAAAAGCTACTTTGAACAGCTTTTTGAATTTTTGTATTTTGAGGCAATAAGTTGTTACAAAAAGCTAATTAATCAAACATTCATATTGATTATTTAATCAAGTCAAACAGCTAATAGTGATCAAATAAGCCAAAATTTACTGATAAGCTCACTATGTTTACCAAACAGGGCTTAAATGTTAAGTAAAATTAAATTACACACATTTTCCTTTTATTTTCTTTTTTAAGAGAAAATTATAGTTTTAATCTCGAGTTTTAAGACGGGTGTAATTTTTGTCTCTAATTAATATATGAAGTTGTAATAGTATCCCTAATTAGTCACTAAGGTGGCGTATTTAGTTATTGATATGATGGATGGATTATTTTGGATAAAGACCGACCTAAACAACACTAATATAGAAGTGGTAAAATAATATATTTATTGTATGATTTTCTTGGACTAAAACCTAAAAAAGAGTTAATACCCAAAATCGTCCTCGACTATAGTGGTTTTTCTCAATTTCGTCCTAAACGACTTTGGTTACCTAATATCGTCCCAGACTTTTGTGTTTCGCTCAATTTAGTCCCAGACTTTTGTGTTTTTGCTCAATTTAGTCCCTCATTTGTTATTTTGTCCATTTGGTGTTAAATAAATACACAATTCAGTAATTTTAATATTGGCATCTCTTTACTCATAGACATGTGAACTGCGAAATCCTGTTTTTTTTTTTTACGAATTACTCCCAGAATTACTCCTAAAACTGCGAATATAAAATTTGATTTGCAGGTCCGGGAGTAATTCTGGGTGTAATTCGTACAAGAAAGAGGAATTTCGCACTTCACAAGTTGAAAGTAAAGAGAGATCAATATTGACATTATTGAATTGTCCCTTTATTTAACACTAATTTGACGAAATAACAAATGGAGGACTAAATTGAGCGAAACACAAAAGTCTGGGACGATATTATGTCACCAAAGTCGTTTAGGACGAAATTGAGAAAAATCACTATAATCGAGGACGATTTTGGGTATTAACTCACCTAAAAAACACCCAACAAACTTCTACTATGTATTAGAGATGATATTGTAAATATATGATTATTCTTGCGATTTTCGATGGAGAAGAGAACATTCATTGGGGTTTAGAGTATTTATAAATTATAATGTAAGAGTTAGAATCATTAATAGGTGAAAGTAATACTTGTGATATTCATCTATTCCTTTAATTACAATATATAATCTCATATATAACCTTCAAAAATCCCCTTTTCTTCTTCTCTATGTATAGTTTTAGAATCTAATAATTAAAAATAATCATTAAAGTGAACCAGAATAATATATATTGTATAGTGTGAAGTTAGAGTATGTTAATTAAACTTTTTTGCACTTTAATTATATGAGGAAACATGACAGTCTCTCTCTGCCAGCTGCTGTCACTCTCTTTATAACACAATTTGCAACCTTTACAAATCAAATCAATTAAGTTGAATTGAATTGTTGGCTGGAAAGGGAAGTGGGATATTATATTGCCTTCAAGCTGGACTCATAATAATAATCTCTTCACATTAGCTGGAGAATACAGTTTCTTGTCCTTAATTCACTGCAAATTACAAGAATAAATAATTCTCTTTAAAGCCAGTTTAAAGGGAATGGGATGAGGATTCAACCTAATCGAGTCCTCTATAACTGTATTTTGGTAATTTCTCTTCTATTAATATCCAATTTAGTATTCGACTATAGTGATTTTGTCCATATTAGTCTTTGACTATAGTAGATAATACTCAATTAAGTCATTGGTTATAGCAGTTTTTATCGATTTAGTCTTTGATTCTAACAATTGATGACTAAATTAGGTAAAATCAACAAAGTCAATCACCTAATTAAACACAAAAATACGTTTAAGACTAATTCGAGAAAAATAACTATAATTAATGATTAAATTGGGTACGAAGTCGTATAAATGAATACATAATAAAATGAAAAGAGGGCACACGATTTTTACTTGGAAGTATTATTGGGAAAATACCAGTGACTAGAGGGCTGATGTTTTTTTAATAGTAGGGCGAAAACGAGGAGTAATTAACTTTCTTGATACATTTGTTTTTTTTTTTTTCAATATTTATATTTTTATTTTTAATATCAAGTTACAGGGCATTTGGTTGGAGGGATTTTAAATTCCCTTCCCACTTAATTCCCACCTAATTCCAAAGACCATTAAATTCCGTAGTTTGGTTGGAGGGAATTGCAATTCCATGGAATTGCAATTCCCCCATTTTCAGGGAATTAAAATCCCATGTCCCCCTGGTATTTTAATTCTTGGGAAAAAAGATAGTGATGAGTCAAAATTACCCCTTCATTTTTTAACCTAAAATTAATGTCTAACAACAATAATGGACATTTTTTATTTTATACTACTTATTCCCTTTCAATTCTCATGTATACCAAACATTTGAATTGAAATTCCCAGTAATTTTATTCCTGTCAACCAAACACTGAATTTAAATTCCCACTTTATTCCCAGTAATTCAACTCCCATGGAATTACAATTCCTTTCCCACATAATTTCCTCCCTCCAACCAAACGCCCTGTTAATGTCGGATCACATTTAGATATAATTTTGTGTCTACATCCTAAGTTTGTGGTGAGTTGCTAACATGGCTTGTAAGCCCATACGCCCAAAGTCCAATGGCACACAGTTGTGTGGATCATGGTCCAAAAGCGATATTGTTTTGTGTAAAAGAAAATTTTACGCGACCAACTGCAACATATATTTTTATAATTTAAAATGTACATTATTCTAAAGCATAATGTACATTATTTTAAAACATTATGTACATTATATTACACCAAAAGTTTAATTATTCTAATACGTAACGTACATTATTTTAACATGTAATGTGCATTAATCTAACACATAATGTACATTATTCTAACACATAATATACACTATTCTAACACATAATATTCAACAATTTCGTTTTCGACCGTGGTCCGCACCCAAAGTAGCCTTCCACCGTTGATCCCAACAACAAATCAATTGTTATGTGGAGGACCATGGTCTTAAAACGGTGCCATTTCATTAAGTAAGAAAAAACATAGTGGTCGTTTCTTTCGTCCAATGACGTGCCCGCGACGTGTATCTTTTTTTTTTAAAAAAAAATATAAAAGTGAAAAGCACAATTTTGGCCCCTTTACCCATCCAGAGCACCATTTTTAACTATCTACGAGCTTAATTCACCGCCAGCAACAATCTTCTCATTCCAACACCATTGTAGCCAGCCAAAAGTTTCATCAAAGGTGATAACATTGTTGTATAGCCTGCAACATTGCATTCACACGTGAAAATGTATTGTATAGTTTCTATATATTATGCTTAAGCTTGAATACATCTTAGGTTTTACAACCATTCGAAAATAAATGCAGTAATGATTTCAAACAAAAAAAAAAAAAAAATGCAGTGAGAAACCATTCCGACACATATAAGATGATTGTAATACCTTAACAAACATCATATTATATAATTTCCTTTCAAAAAAAAAATCATATTATATAATTTCAAATAAAATTGTGGTGTAGTTAAAATGATACTATAGTCTTTGTCTAATAAAATTGCGGGCTGTATAGAATGAAACTGAGCATGTGGTGTCACATGTTGTTGGGTATAATGTCAAATGAAACTGTAGCGTAGTTAAAATGATATTGTAGTGTCTTGTCAAATGAAACTGCAAGAGTTAACGACAGCGGTTGTTTTTCTCCTGAAATTGCTTCAAACCACTCCATATAGATCCTTGGTCCATAGTGCTACGTGGACCACGGTCCACAATAAAATTTGCGGCAACAAATCTAGTTATAGAACATAGATATTATTTCATAACATCCAAGAAAATACGACAACTTATCTAACTTCATAGCAAAAGTGATAGGGTGGCATACCTCAAACCATTATGATATCTTCATTGTAGGGTGTCTCAAAAACTACAAGGAGTTAAACATACTTATCTACCACTTATTCTCATGTGCAACTAGATGGTGTAGTATGAATTATAACAAGAGCAATGGGAGGACTATGCTTAAAGAGCCTATGTGCATGCTATCATTCTAGGCTATTGTAATGAAAATCGTACGTTATTTGAGTTACAAACTTAATGTTATCACTTAATAGCCACAATAACTTGAACCACAATTATATGCATGCATGTGTTAATGAAAAAATGTCACAGAGTGTGCATCCGTTGTTATATGAATGAGCACTCTGTAGTGTTGCAAAATACAGTTTAAAATTCTTGCGAAAAGTACACTCTGTAGTGCTGGTAAGTGCATGTTTAAAGTTCATGTGATATCACATTTAACAACACTACATAGTGCATTTAATTTGCAAAGTGTACTTTGTAGGGTTGTGTAATGAACTTTAAGTTAAAGAAAATTATCAAAATACTACCACTTTTTTTCTCATTACTTTATATCCGCTCCGTTAGATTTGGCATAAACGGCTAGGGTTGATTCATAGTGTTCTCTTGAGAATATTAAGTTTGCAAGTGTGCAACTATATACGGAGAGAGTACATTTTCCTTGCACTAGACACTAGTTCTCCCACCTAATGAACCGGTAAGTTATCGTGATTTATACATCCACTATCTTGTTAGATTGGGGTATTGGGGCTAGAGGGGCGAGAAAATTTTATTTTTAGTGCCGCTAGACTGCATTCTTTTATTTCTATTTATTTATTTTTGGGTCAAGAAGTTAAGCAGATAAACATGAAGAGAACTATATAGTTGGATTTTTTTGTTAACACCCAAGTGGAATGAATTAGCAAACTGTATTACCTTTAATTTAAGGATATCATTTTATTTTATTGTAAAATAATGCAGAGTTTGTTCCGGAATCATCGGTGAGGATAACTAAGAAAACAAAAATTGAACATCAAGAAAAGAAAAAAGATTCCTTGTACGAAATGCATCTTTGTTCTTTTCCTTCATATAATTTTGAATCTACATCGTCCAATATAATTATCCAATCCGAGTGAAGTTACAAGTCTTTGGTAGCTATAGGCAATAGTTTTATATGCGCTAATTTTTCTAGGTCAAGCACAAGATGATCAGATCAGATTCCAACCCAATTTATGGATGACTAATTTTATTTGTCTTGGGCTTTAGCAATTTCAATTTTGATATTTTTTTTTTGAATGCAATTTCAATTTTGATATGTTTGATGAGTTTATGAAACGTGCAACATCTATAATCAGTACTCAAAAAAAGTGTTTAGGCTTGGTTATTTTAGTATTTAGTATTAATAATAATTGACACTAGATACTTTTATGATGGTTTGAAAAATTCTTCCTACGCAGATTAGAGAAAATAAACTAGTGTTACTTTTTTAAAATTGTCAAAATAATTGATGCTAGATACCAACGAATATCTAGTGTTGGCTATAACCGATACTAAGTACAGAGTAATTTACATTGTAATTGTTATAGAAGTTTTCATTATCGCCAGCTATAGCTAACATTACATTGAAGTTGAAAATTGATTGGTCATATCTAGTGTCAGTTACAATCAACGCTAAAATATCTTCTCTTTTTTTTTTCATGAAAAAATAAAAATAAAATCAAAATATGTGTTGGCAAGTGCACCAGTCGTACAAGTTGTATAGTGTGGGAGTAACCTCTTAAAATGAGTGGGGGTTCCTTGTGCGCAGTGAGCACAAGTTAGCCTCTGTTGGTCAGTTGAGTCGTCATGATTTATCATTCCACAAACTGTCGGGCAGGAGTGCGAGATCGCTTAAGGTGGGCGATTTCACTTTTTGTCACAAGTATAGAAGTTGAGTCCAAGCACTACCCCACGAGGAATGATTAATAAAATAATGAAATTTAAATTTTAGAGGCATAGAAAGTAAAAATATACAGATTAAATTACTACTATCACGTGCATGGAGCAAAGAACTTTTTTTAACATCAAAGTAATGTCGTTTTGAACCGTGGTCCACACAATAATTTATCCAATCTTTAGTGTTTGGGCTTGTTTAATTTGGATAGATGTGTCAACAATCGTTATATCCTACACCACGGCGCACATAGCACTGTGCGCCGCGCGCCTCCCAAAACGACGTCGTTTTGGGGTAGTGTTGGGAGGCGCGGCAGGAAGTTGCTGAGATTATGTGTATTTGTTCACAACGTAATGTGTATTTGTTCACAACGTTATGTGTATTGGTTCATACAGTTATGTATATTTTTTATACAATTATGTACATTCTTTTTATACAATTATGTACATTCGAATCAGAAAATTCGTGTGTATTATGTTAAGAGTTGATGTGTATTATGTTAAAAGTTTACGTTTATTATGTATTATGTTAGATTATGTGTATTATCTTTTAAAAAGAGTATGTATATTTTGTTATATAATTATGTACATTCATGTATAACATTATGTGTATTCTAGTATAACATTATGTACATTCTTGAACAGCGGATTTTTTTTTTAAGAAAAAACTACTGCCATTCACTGGGGCGGGAAATTTCAAAAAAAAAAATAATTAAAACGACGTCGTTTTGCATCTGGGCGCATAGTGCAACGCGCGCCGTGGTGTAGGATATAAATTGCCATGTGTCAAGACCTTGGGGTCTAATGACACCAAGGTTGGATTCCTATATGAGAGATTGTGAGTTCGAGCCTCAGTGGAGACAGTATTGACTCTTTATGTTTCAATAGATTGAGAAAATAGTTATGAACAGATACTACATTGTAATAGGGTAAGTAGGATTCAAAAAATTTGGATAGATGTATTTATATTTATGAATGAATAACGAAAAGCAATAAGACGAATCGTGAACTAATGAAAAGTAAGACAAGTAATAGTCCAACATATGTGGTATTTAATGTTGATTGTTGAAGTTCCCTCGTTATTTGCAACGAGTCCACCTATATATATATATATATATATATATATATATATATATATATATATATATATATATATATATATATATATATTGATTGATTGGAAATATTTTGATGTTTGGTCATTGTCTTTCTAGTCTTTTCCTGATTTTTAGGCAGACACATCAAATGCTTCTCAAAGTTGTTACCCAATAGCAAGGAAAGACAGGCTATCAAATTAATATCTTTTTTTGGCACATGGATTTTACTTAGTGGGATAGATAGATAAAGATGTCCCAACTAACTTACCAAAAACATGCATTATAAAGTCCATATTTCTACATAAAAAAGTTTATGACCATATCTAGTATTATATTATATTATTAGGAGTAAAAATGTAAATTTTTAGTGGAGAAATGTTGTTTGACAATAACATTATATTATTATATTTACTTATGAAAAGTGTTGCAATTCTTGATATTCATTAGTTGTTAGTGTATTGTATAATTTTGCCACAAATTAATCATATGACATACGAAATTCAAAATTCAGGGTATGATTCAAACAGTAGTGAGTGTATTTAATTTGCTTATTATTTGTGCATATTTAGTTGTATTGGTGTAATTAGTTGTGCTCTGCTGTAGTTGATATAGAACTATTGTAATTGAATTGTTATATTCTTTTTCTTTTTGAATGACAAGCCAAGGAAAAATTACTACTAATATTAATTGAACATTAAGCTATTATAATATTCACAATCGGGTTACAACAAAAATAAATAATATGAGTAAGGCCCAATAGGGACCAAGCCCAAGAATAAGTCAACTTGACAACAGGTCAAGGCCAAAAGAATAATCTTTGTATGAAGGCCCATTTGTAAAGAGACCAGACCACTACTGACTTCTGTTTCAGAACATCAATTTTGGTTGATTGTCGAGATGAAGTTAGTTTCTTTAGTACCAATCGTTATTCTATGGACCCGTGTCCAGCAACGGTGCCGTTAGTGGCACCATTCTCTTCCACTTTTTTAAAAAAAAAAAAAAAAAAAAAAAGAATTTCAGACCACTTTGTTATATGAGTATATGTTCATAATTTTATCACTATATGTTTATAATTGTAAGTTCATAATATCAGAGCTCTGTGTTCATAATTGAATAACTGTACATTCATAATTGCATAACTGTACATTCTTAATTTCGTAACTGTACATTCATAATTCAATAACTGTAAATTCATAATTTTCGAAACTCTATGTTCACAATTTTAGAGTTCTATGTTCATAATTTTATCACTATATGTTCATAATTATAAGTTCATAATGTCAGAGCTCTGTGTTCATAATTCCATAACTTACCTTCATAATTACATAACTGTACATTCATAATGCCACAAACGAATAACGCCGTCACGAGACAAAATCAATTTTTTTTTTAACTAAAAGGCCGCTTTTTTTTTTAAAACTAAAAGGCCGCGTTTTTCCTTAAAACGACGTCATGCATTGTGGACACAAGTCCACAGCATAATTTGCACTTTAGTACTATGGTTTAATGAAGATAATTTCTTTCAAATAATTGTATGGGTATTTATTGCACCTATTAAATTTAAATGGTATAATAAAAGGGTATTTAGCAAATAACCATAAACTGATAGCTGTTAACTGATTAAATTAGTGAATTTTACTAATTGACATCATTAGCTTATATTAAAAAAATATTTTGTAAATTAACTGATAACTTATTACATGCAAATTAATTTTCTTAAAAAGCTAATCGAAAAAAACTACTTTGAACAACTTTTTGAATTTTAACATTTTGAAACAATAAGTTGTTACAAAAAGTTAATTAATCAAACACTCGAACTGATTGTTTAACCAAGTCAAACAGCTAATAGTGATCAAATAATCCAAAATTGGTTGATAAGCTAACTATGTTAACAACCAGGTCCTAAATATAGAAGGCAAGGCAATCTGAACAATACAATACAAAAATTAAAATATTTAATAAATTCTAATAAATATCCTGAAGCTCTATAGAAACAAGCTTCATATTTGATGCAGTTTAAAAATGACAAGATAACTGTTTAGGAGAACAATAAGAACATCAACCATTCTATCTTAAGATTACCCCAACCACAAGCCAAGTTTCCACAAACTTAAAATGCCATATGCCCATATAGACAATTGACCAATCTAAACATAGACTTAGTATCCTCCAGACCCGCGCCCATACCTTTCACCGCCCCCAAAACCCCTATCACGAGGAGGACCTGAACTGGACCTCTCTTGGGCATAAGACACACGAATGTTTCTTCCGTGCAGTTGCTGCAACCAAGAGTCGAAGATCAAAGGCCAATTAAAACAACAAACATAAAGCATGAACAAAAAATTTTAACTCGTTAGCACCTCCAGTCAAGTCACTGGGTTTAACAATGTTGCATTTGGTGTTTCTATTAGGTTTTTACCTGTCCATCCATAGCCGAGAGAGCTTCGTTTGCCGATTCAGCCTCTGTGAAATTCACAAACCCAAATCCTCTTGATCTCCCGGAATCTCTGTCAGTAATCACTCTTGCTGTAGCACAAAACAATACAAGTATATTAAAACAAGCACAGGCCAATGACCTTGTGGTAGTGGCACAAAGTGGCTCTCCAATATGAGAGGTCATAGATTCAAGCCTCACTGGGGCAGTATTAACTCTTTGTGCTTCAGTAAGTTGAGAAAGTAGTTATAGTTATGAACAGATACTGCATTGTAACAGAGCCAGTAGTACTCAAAAAAAAAAGCACAAGTATACAACTAGGCAACAAAACCATGTAAAACCAGATTGAAAGGAACAGTACTACCCAACATTATCATCCGGATAGATTACGAGAACTCAAACTATCAATAATGCAATTTTCAACACTACAAACACATGAAAGAGGACCGGTTAATTTGAATTACCCGAGTCCATTAACTACTTAGTCAACCATGCAGAGTTCTCTAAAAGCAATTTTGCCATACAATGAACCCATTTACTCACTCCTTTTCTCCTTAGTAAAGAAGTTTCATAGAGGGAAAACATATGTACATTAAGCTTCCATACCATTGCACAAAATGGATTAAGTATAATTAGTTATTATGAAGATAAAAACCCTCAAAGTCTACGCAGAAGAACAAGACCATATACATAGAGTTTTGTTATAAGTAAATATCCTCAGCCCCCCATTTCAATTAGAGAGTGAGAAGTTGGGAGTTCGAACCCCCTCTCGTATGGAAAAACCAATCTGGCCAGCACTTTGTCCCTTAATTGGACCCGCCCAGTGCAAACAGGGATTAGTACGAGTATGGTACGGGCTTAAAAGTACCTCCTACAGTTAAGACCTGCTCAAGACACCTCGTGGTCACAATTAGAGAGGGGGGAACGAGTAAAGATAATTTACCACAAAGACACATGCAACAGCATACAAATAGGAGGCAAAACCCATTATTAAAATGCAATTATATTCAAGGTAACTAAAATTGCAAGAATAACATAAATACAAGTTGTCAGACACAATCAAAAGGAACCAAACAACTATAACTCCAGCAAGGTAGTAATGGTTAAGAACATGATCAGAAAATATGTTATCTGACATTCAAAGATACGCTTAAATCATTTAAATACAATGCATATAGGTGTATGAACACGGATAAACAAATAGTGTTGGTATACAACTCACTAATTAGCACAATACAAAACACAGCTATGGAACATATAACATCATATACCCCTTAACTGGCAATTACAAGAATTAAAATCAAAAGAATATATACTATTAAAACAAATATATAAAAACAGCTCACCTTCCACAATCTCACCAAAGCTGGAGAATGCTTCCTTCAGGTTACTGTCATCCGTACTATATGAAAGGCCTGTCAGATCATAGATAAACACATATATTATTCAACTTCTCACAAAAATGATATAAATCCCCAAAAATAAAAACATCGAGTTAAGCATTGCCTACCACCAATGAAAAGCTTTGTGGACATGCAGCGTAAAGCATTAAACATGGAGGCCATTGGAGCTTGAGCAGTTGATGCATTGTTAGTCAAAACACTTCGCCTAACCAGACTCCCAAGTTTATTGCAGAAAGCCATTACTACAGCTAAACACAAAATATTCACATGCACAAATGTCAATAACAATCAATAGATTTAAAACCATCAGCAAATTATCTTAAACATATCAAAATTTACAGAGGAAAATACATTTATTAAAGGCATCAAAACAGAATTCAATAGACAAATCACTAAGAACTCAAAGGACATATGAAAGAATAATTCATAAATTGCCAATCAAGAAATACAGAGTTAGAGCCTAATACAAGTAACAATTAGTCCATAAAATATTTTAAGTTTCAGTGTTGAATGCTTCAAACAATTTAGTACAACATCCTACAGAATATCTGTTTCTGTCTATCTAGTTTCATCCCAGTGTACAACCAAAATCAACATCATTGAAATTTCTGATATTCAGTGAAGACATTTAAAAAAGCTAACTTCATACAACAGACTTTCAAAACTTTTAAGTTCTGAAACGAAACACACATCTGATTAGAACCCAGAAATCTACTAAAAGATGCAGAGGGCAATATTAATCCGCAAAGACGCAAAACCGTTGCAGAAAACAAATTGAAAACCCAGAAAATAAACTAATGAAAATCTTTCAATATCGTTAAGCATCTAAACTACATGAATAGCTTTTAAAAATCCAAGAATATGATTCAAACCCGTCGAGTGACAGAGACCCAATATAGTGAAAAGAGACGAAAACGCATACCTGTGATAAAGAAGAGGTTTTGGGTTTAAGGAAGAAGCTGAAGGCAAGAGAGCGGCTAGGGTTTAACAGCCTCTACGGGATATATAGGAGGAAAGCGGTGGCCTGGCTGACTGAGAGAGAAAATATCTACGAGCCTTAAGCCTTTTTAGTTTTTACGGTCATTTGGTTGAAATCGGATTAGAAAAAAAAAAAAAAAAAATACTCCGGTACTATTTATGAGAGAGAAATAGAAGAAAAATAAAGTAAAAATAATATATAGATAAAAATATATGTAAAATTAGGAACATTTGAATATGGTGTACAAAAATATGAAACTTTTAAAGTTGGACAAAAATGAAAACCATAAGAAAAATACATTTGCTAAATGTGATTTACATGTTGACCAAATCAAAAATGTATTTGCCAAATACTTTTCATGTTTTATTTTTTAAGCTAGAAAAAGTTAGGGTGTTGCTATTTGTACCACCTTTTGATTAAAATGGGGTATAAAGTAGAAAATGTAAAAAGGTGATAATTTATAATAAATACATAGATGGTGCAAATAGCTTAATGGGTGGTCAAAATACTATTTGCACCATCTTAGTAAAGGTGTTGTTATTTGCACCCTCCTTTGACCAAAATGGGGTAAAAAGTACATTGAAAATATAAAAAGTTAAAAACTTGTAATAAATACATAGGTGGTGCAAATAGCCTAATGAGTGGTCAAAATGCTATTTGCACCACCTTAGTAAATGTTTTTTTTTTTTTTTTTTTTTAATTTAAGAAAAAGTGAAAAACAAATAATAAACTTTGACTATATTTAATGCTGGTGGTGTAAATAGCAAATTTGCATTTATACCACCTATAAAGTTATTTGACCTACTAAATAGGTGGTGCAAATAGCAAAATAGGTGGTGTAAATAGAACTACCTATTAGATTTAAGTAATAATTAATTAATTCAAAATTTAATTCATTAAAACTAAAAAAAATAAAAATAAAAAAAATCATAGCCTTCTCCGGTGAGAAGATCATGAACATGCCTTCTCACCGGAGAAGGCAATTGGGTAGCCTTCTCCGGTGAGAAGGCAGAAGGCAATTGGGTAGCCTTCTCCGGTGAGAAGGCAGCCAACCCATCTGGGTTGCCTTTTCCGGTGAGAAGGCAGTCTCTCGCCTTTTCACCGGGGAAGGCCAGGCGTTTAACTTCTTTTTTTTTTTTTTAAATTAATAATTTGATTGTAAAAAATATATATATAATAAATATCTTTGACCACATTAAATGATGGTGGTGCAAATAGCACTTTTTAATTAACACCACCTATAAAGTGGTTTGACATATTCAATAGGTGGTGCAAATAGTAAAATAGGTGGTGTGTAGAATTTTCCAAAAGTTATCAAATGCATATGACATAGGCGTTTGATGTATTTTATGTTGCTAACGCTAGGCGATAATATTGGATTAGACAAAATGAAACTATACATTTACTTTTTTGACAAATTATGATGTGGAATCGTGCCTACCTTGCAATGTGGGTACGGTTCCACAACATAACGATTATACTTTTTTGTGGCCTATACTATTATAGGCTAATCTTATCTCTAAAATTTCTCTTACTTTTTAAAATGAGTCCTGCTTTCATATCATCAATTTTACATATAATAAAATAATATTAAAAAATATTTATTTAAGTACCTTCAAAATTCATATAAACTGATCATTGAATGCTTTCTCATTTTAAAAACAGATGAAAAAGATAATTATTACAACAACAATGGTTCTAGTATGGCAATGGATTTAGATCATGTAACATGTTCACAACCAATGTTCATTCTGAGGAATTTGTCTCAAGATTTCGAATACGTCTCTCAGCCACAACAAATGGAAGAGAATTGTATTCTTGGTCAGCCTCAATCATTTTATTTGTGGATAGTCTATAGACACATTTACTGTAAGATAATTTATTGTGAACTGATTTTCCTACATCGTATTCTTTGGTTTGTAGTTGAATATGCAGATTTAGGTGATCCAGATTACAAGTGTGATATCAGGATTATATGGTCTAATAGTACCTGAGTTGGACTTCTATTTGGAAGATTATGAGTTCAAGCCTTAGTGGAGGCATTATTGTTTTTTTTGTGTTTCAGTAGGAGGCATTATTGTTTTTTTGTGTTTCAGTAGGTTGGGAAAGTATATGAACAGATACTATAATGTAATAGAGCCAGTAGCTTTCAAAAAAAAGATTACAAGTGTGATCATTGCAATGCCAGAAAATTTGTTAGCAAATCACCCAAATATTCACTATGTTGTGGTCATGGCAAGATAAAGTTACCGACAATGACATTATCGCCAAAAAAATTGCATGAACTTTTTTTTTTTTTCTTTTGGGTGAAAAAAGGACAAGTTTTTTGGAAAACATTAGTACAGATAATAGTATGTTTTGTTTTACTTCAATGGGCGGTAAAGTTGATAAGTCTATCAACCGTGGAAGTGCCCCACCAATTTTCAGGATAAATGGCCAAAATTTCCATCTTATTGGAAGCTTATTACCCGCAGATGGTAATGAACCAAAATTTACCCAGCTTTACATACACGATACTCAACAATCGTATCAACAAATTCAGGTGTTGTTTCAGATATAATGTACAAGCAATTATTAAACATATGTGAAAATTGTCTAAAAAATTTAATATGAGAAAACATGTTTAAACGATTTTGTAGGAATGATGATGGGAGATACAAAATTCATGAAGGAGTTGTTACAGACATAAAAGAAGTATTAGATGAGCATAATGTGTTATTTAAATCATTTTGTATGGATAAGGGTGAGATTGAGATTACATCAAAAGTCATACTTTCCTTTTCAATAACTTTTCCAGTCTTCTCTCTTATTAGCAAATTCTCTCTCCTATTTCTAATTTAGCAAATTCTCTCTCCTATTTTTAATTTAGCAAAAAAAAATTTTAAAAATGTATTCTCTCTCTTCCATGTCACTTAGAAAGGGCTAAAATTTCTGGGATGGGGTTAGCCTAATGATTTGTTCTCATGGCCAGGATTTATTTCTAAATTTATAGACTTGATCATTTGTCTATTTGTTGTTTATATTCTCTCATTCCTACTTTAAATAGGAATTATATGGGTAGTTCCAAATCATCCAAAAACAAGAAAGAAATTGTCCTTCTCCTCCTTTCATTAATTTTTTATATCTAAGCAGTATTTATGCATTCCAACTGTAATTAACGAGTGCACATTACTATAGAATAGTTGTGTAACATTAAGGAACAACGTTGTTCTTTATACCTTGCACTTAGGTACCAGCGAAATTACTCTAAAAGGTAGTGAACCTCTTTTTCAAGCCACATCTTTAAATCCCTGTTGCAACATCATTTTTCCAACAATTTTTAAAACAATTTTTTTTGTAGCTTATAATTAATTTCAGAGTGGGAGACGACTTGTAGAGATTTTAAATGGCGAATCTTTGCTACTTGATGAGCAAATGCAGGAGAAATAGTGTCTCCTAGACAGCATGAGCTTGGGGAATGGACATACACAATTTTGCATAATGTTCATTGTACTTGTATGGTATGAAGCATTATCATTTTCTTGTTTCGCGAAACTCAATAGTAAACCTATCATACTGCTAAGATGAGTATTTCATTTATTTGGGAGAAGATGAGTATTTCATTTATTTGGGAGAAGATGAGTATTTCATTTATTTGTTTAAATAATAATTATTTTATGTGAATCATATAAGCCTTAAACTCTTTTGAGTTAAAAATGTAGAGATATAGAGAGCTTTATTCGTTCTAGTTTATAAAGTCAATTCTTTCTTCATTGCTTACTTTCTTTAATAATTTTTAAATTTGATTTTTTTTTTTATGTTTAATAGTACTTTTAATGTAGTTTCTAAATATTTAAATTATATATATATATATATATATATATATATATATATATATATATATATATATTATTTGAATGCTAAACTTAATACTATGAAAAATTGAATTAAAAATAAATTCTGTCAAGCATTGTTAACTGAATCAGACGAACAAAATGGGACGGAGGGAGTATATATATGGCCTAGTTCTGGTGCGGAAGGCTTCCAAAGTGAGAACTACGAACAAATCTAGTTCATCCATCTAGGGAGATTAAAGATTGGAAATCAATAAAATGGGAAAAGAATAGGCGTGCAGGAGAGAATTAGGAATCAATTAGAGCCGTTTTGAAAAGATTCAATTGATTTAAAGTAGTGAGAGATGGAAAAATGTAGTGACATTTTCGTAAATAACTTGAGCTAAGTACAAGTAATAAAACTACGGAGTGCACTTAACAATATCATAGAGTGCAAGATATAAAGTACAACCGAGCAACAATAATAACTTGAACTTTAAGTGCAAGTAATAACACTATGGAGTGCACTTAACAACATCATAGAGGACAAGTTGACAACATTAAAAAATAAAAGGTACACCTAAGTAACATCATAGAGGACATCATTAATTGCATCGAATGTTAAAGTTAATTACTTTCATATGTTACTTGCACACTTGCGCATTGTTACTTTGACTTTAAAGTTCAAGTTATTTAGAAAAATACCACCATATTTTTTAAAATTGATCATCATTCATTAGATCTTCTTAAGAATTGAATAGTTGAGAACTTGATTACTAAAACTGATAATCGAGAACTAAGTTGTGAATTATGTCATGCATAGTCGATGGATGATTTTGGTTATTAACTCTAACCTTAATCATAAAATGGTATTCTATAGTTTTGCACTTAAAAAAATTTATTATCACTAAAAAGTTCTTTACACCGTACACAATACACTCCTTTAGCATGTTTTGATACTTTTGTACCTGTTTCCTTGGTATTGTAGTATGAATATACATACCACGAAAAAAATTAGTTAATCATGATATATGAAATAGAAGTCATTAAAACAATTATATTTATATTAAAGTAAGTAACTAAAATGGTCTCTCAACTATAGCTAAATTTACAAATTGATCTTCGATTTTTAATTTTAACCAATTAAGTCTTTAATTTTGTAATTTTAACACGATTTGGTCCTTCGAACACTTCTGCATTAACGCCGGCGCCCGCGCCGTCATCGACGATCTCCAGAAGAACCTG